CGGTCGCACTTTTGTTTTTGTCAGCTAACTTTCATTCACGCACAAGTCATATCCAAAGTAGCTTCTGTGTTGTACCGTGTTTCGGAATTCTTCTCGTTTTAGGAGGAATCTTAGGTGTACTTCTACTTTTTTCATACCTTTTCTTTGATTTTCTAGATTTGGGTGATATGGACTGACTTGTCTTGCGTTGCCTTCTCTACTGTTTCCTCCTCGACATCGCTTTTTTGACCTTTTGTGTTTACTGGCTTAGAGACAGTGGATCGCCAGAATGAACCCTTCTCGGATTTTGATGGATTTCGGTAGTAGACCCCCAAGTACATTGTGGCCCAAATCCCACCTGCCAATTCATGAGCTAAGTTCTGAAAATGGGCTTCAAAACTCCACCAGCCCCGCCCACTTCCATTAAGGGGGCGTCATTGTTGGAAGTTTGAAGCGCGTTTTCAGGAGGCAGCGCATGAATTGGAAGGTGGTTTAGGCTATAGTGCACTTGGGGGTCTACTACCCAAATCTACCAAAATCCGAGTAGGGTCCATCCTGCCGTTCCACTGCCTTCAATGCCACAGTTAGTGTACTGATAGCCGTTGCTCGCGTATGCAGCTTGCTCGCGCCAAAAGCGCAGCTTGCAGTGCTTGTCGTAGCTTCCAGTTTGTGCAGTTTGTTCGTGAGTTTTTTTGTTCTGGCAAGCTCAAGATTTGCCAACCGCGATAATTCACAGATGGTCACAGAGACTAGTCTCATTCTGTTATAATTGGTCTCTTGTAATGAAAACAATACCTGGATATTCTTTTGACTTCAGGTATCGTTTTGTAGAGCTGGCTTCAATTTAGAAACACGCTATGGAGCAAATCAAAAATCTATCTTTTTTACTGTAGGAGCATCGTAGGAACTTGCAGCATATGATGCTCACTGTGAAAAATGCCATTAAACAAATATCCAAAAAACCTGGAAAATTGCACAACAAGGTTTTCATACATCCTGATTTTAGTACACAAAGTTTTGCGCTTCTCTTAGAGCTTTCCAAATGGCCTATCCAGATTTTTGATGAATAACAGAAACTGGTTGTTTTGGTGTATCTGGCGCGGCCTATGAAAAATGTGTTACGATGAAGTGCGAGTTTCATATTTGAAATCAGTAACTCTGATTAAAGTGTGAAAGTCATCAGCTTGTTCTATCTTAGGAGCCAAATATGATCTCTATTTAGTCAAATTTTTCCTCAAATTTTCTATCGTAACCCTACAATAAATAATGCATTTTTGATTCGCACCATACTGTAAGTCTAATCTGAGGTCAGCTCTACAGGATGGTTTCTAAAGCTTCTCGAAATACTTCAAGAGAGTTATTAACAATCAAACAATAGGCACATTCTTGAGATGCCAGCTGAAAGTCTGTTTGTCTGTCTTATGTCTGTCTGTATGTGTGCACTATACTTGGGTAATTCGAAAATTTTTCATCGAATGAATGAATATCGAATGAGTTCGAAAAGGAAAAATTTTGAATAAACGAATATCGAATAAATTCGAAAATAAAAAATCTCGAATAAACGAGTATCGAATAAATTCGGAAAATAAAAAATATCGAATGAATGAATTTCGAATAAATTGGAAAATCAAAAATATCGAATGAATGAATTTCGAATATATTCGAACATTGGAATTTCGAATAAATATTCGAATGCTTATCGAATAACTAAAGCAATCACATCTCAAACTTGCCGACTTATCTGGCTAAAGCCGATCCATTCATAATCAGCACCTCGTATCCCCTACACCAACTCCTAGCACAAAATTTTCCAAAAAATGCTGAAATCGATAAAATAGATTTCGGTTTCAATCAGCATCCTCACTTACCCCTTTGTAGCAACTGCCAACCTCGCAGCTCAAGATTTTCTAAAAATCGATAATCTAGTGTCGATAATCTGATCGATATCTTGTGTGGTATAAGCTAGTCGTGGACGAAGGCATGTGGTTTCTTCCGCGAAGCGAGCACGAATGCCCTATAACCCCGGGCATACTGCAGGCATTTCAGTTGGCGACGTGGTATGGCAATACTCAAATTGTCCAAAATCTATTCTAAAAGTACAGAATGCAGGGCATTTATCTTTTAGTAAGTTGTACACGCTAAACATTTGTGGTAAGCTGCCATTACATGTGAAGACATCTCGTAACTGACAAATCGCGTACGGCGATCTAAACCGTCTAATCCTGCACTACAACGCGATGTCCTTTACTCAATATACACCAATTCGCAAAAAACTCCAAGGTAATGAATAGGCAGTTGTGCAATAATTTATGCGAGCAAGAGTGCTCACTAGTATGGGCTTAGCATACCGCAAGCATGAGCAATGCAAAGAAAGAAGAACAGCCATTTCAATTCAAAATATGAACTCGGAGCATGAGCTTGAATTTGATATCTTCTTTGCTGATGGTGCCAATAGCAGTGAGAACAATCTCATTGATCGAAAAAGCATCAATTAAAATCTACATATGATTTTTTTACTGTCGCAAGCAGTCGGAAGAATGCGACTCTCCACACAGTTCAAAGGTATAACGGTTGCAAAAGATGCATTACCGAGTTTTGCGAAAAAAAACGCGACGAAGTGAGCTTGATACTCAGCAGTTGGCTCTGCAACAAAGTGGAATAATCTGAATACGGAGTACATTCGAATACGAATTCGAATAAACATTCGAATAAAACATTCGAATAAAATCCATTCGAAACTCCGTTTTTTGATTATTCGAGTTTTCGAATAATATTCGAAACCTCGTTTTTTGGTTATTCGAGTTTTCGAATTTTTTTCGAAACCCTGTTTTTTGATTATTCGAGTTTCGAATGTTATTCGAAATCCCGTTTTCTCAATTATTCGAGTTCGAATATTATTCGAAAATGGAAGAATTCCGAATATCGAATTTCGAATACGAATATATTCGAATGTTTTATTCGAATGATCGAATTTCTATTCGATTCGGACCCAAGTATAGTGTGCACGTATGTTCCGAATAGCAAATTCCATTTCTGAGCCGATCCAGACCAAACTTGGCTCACGTACACTTCAGAGCTGGTGTGCGGGCTGGTGCTACTTTTCGTCATCAACCGATATCGATCGTATCAATTTTCATCAATTTTTTACAAAGTTTGAGCTACGGAGCTGGCAGTTGGCATGCTAGTTACAAATGCAATATTATTTGTAAAGTCATCGACTACTTTTATCGACTTTATCGATGACGAAATTTGAGCTACGGGGGGCCGGCAGTTGGCACAGGAGGGTTAGTGGGCATGCGTTACAAAAACAAAACGGGATAGGAAAATGACATGTAGAAGTTGATCCAGGGAAAGGGTGTGTAAGGAATAGGAATGGTGAGCTTTATCGTAACGTATTAAAGGGACCAGGCGGAGCCGGATATGCTTATGTTCTACATATTGCGATACAACGCACGTAATATATATATATATATTAGTGTGCTGCCATTTTCAGTATACCAATATTGCTTGCTACTAGCTATTCCGCCTGTTAATGAAGAAAAAATGTTGAGGGTACGGACCAAATTAGCAAATACACTGATTTTTGTCTCTCGAAAGGCTTTGTTTTAAGAAGTTATAAAACAAAGGGCTTTGAGTTTCCCATTTAAAATGAATAGATGTTGTACAGCAAGAATGGCTCTTTCAAATATCATAGTTTGCCTTGAACCAGTCGCTTCTTCAAAAGATAGCGAAAAAAGAAAAACTTTATGAAACGAGCCAATGTGGTGAAAGGATGATGAGTTGAGTTTGTAAGCTTTTTTCTGCAATTTTCGATCACTCACATTATTGTCATGCACTGCAAAGAATATAACAGACGCATGCACATGGATGCTATTGAGTTTGCAAATATCACATTCTGAGCGCAGTTTCAGGTTGAATTGCGCTGCTTATGGCCACAATCGCTTTTCAAGTAACAATGCAATCATCTGCTATTCAACAGAAATGTGTTGTGTAAAGAGCTGAACACAGTTACTTTACCTATACATGCAATACTTTGTGCAATCAAGCATTCTTTGTACCGGTCATTTTTTCAAATTAATTCTTTCGCATGAAACTTTTCCAACATCTTTTTCGAATTCAATATGTGCGCCTCGGTGACCGTTCTCTAATGCTGCGGAGGCATATAACGTTAGCATAAATAAGCATTTGTAAATATTAACGTTCTTATAATCTGATTGTGTATCACTTTTTTCTGATTATTATCTCGAGGCAAATAAATGATTTATGCAAAAGAACAACAAAAGGTTTACAAAACTTACAAGAATAGGGTAAGGTAGGATGCAAAAGAACAACGAAAGAGATACAAAACTTACAAGAATAGGGTGAGGTAAGACTTATCTATAAATATGCTACAAAATATCAGACTGTCGCAAAAACCTTTTCTCTAGTGGTCGATTCTTTCGAGTGTTGATATGACAAAGAAGTCATGTAAACGGCATGAACAAGTACAAAATTCTCCAAATAATTTAGATGCATATCCTTTGGCGAAAATTTTGAGCCGCGAGTGGGCATGACTTATTGGGACTTTCCTATGCTTGCAAGGGTTCGATTCTGGAATCCGTGTCTCAAGCTCAGAAAGACTACTATGTAAACCGAGAATTTTGTAGACAAACGTCGAAGACAACAAATAGAATGAAAAGAGAAAACGAAACACATGCCATTTACAGTCGTTCTATGTAGAAACAACTCCAACGATTGAGAGATTTTTCCTAGAAGTAGGATCTTTTGCGACAACCTACATCATGATGCCTTTATTCGTTAGTGGACAGGTTCTTTACTGCTGATCGACCATAGTAGATACACACATAGTAAGGTATTGGAACAATCTTAGTTTTAACAATTGGTTTAGGTGTAGTAGGCTGCACTGGAATTTTGATCGGAGCGCTAGGCCTTTTAGGCCGTTTTTTGGTCTTCTTTTGCTTTGATCCCTTACGTTTCTTTCCTCCCTTTTGCTTTCCCTTTTTTCTTGGTTTGGGTTTCACGTTCCGCGGTGGAGGCGGCGCTGGCGCTGGGGTTGTTGTTGTTTGAACTATGAGCTCTTTTCGTTCCTCATAGGTAGTGCCAGAGGCACAGCCGAGTGCAGTTGCCTTCTTCTCCAAATCTTTCAACTGTTTCGTGAGCTTCCCCTCTCTGAATATGAAAGTACAAAAAAGTTTAGCTTAGAGACTTCAACTCACTTGGGAATAATAGTAACATCCCATTTTGCCTTTTTTCTATCCCCTTTCAGTTCGATTTCGGCTTCTTTTAGCAGCTGAGTAAGTGTGTATCTTGATTTTTTGGCGAGCAAGTTACGAAGCTTTGACGCCTCAGACTCTAGCCAGCAGATGTATCTCGGCGATTGCTAAAAGTGAATGCAAGATAGACGTGCCATAGATAATTCAGCAAGCTATTAAGAAATTGGTAAAAACTTATAAGACACACTTACAATATTATTGAAAAGTAGACCTTTCAAATAATCCCTTTCTTCGCTATTCTTAACGGGGATCTTTGAATATGCAGCATAGCCGTCAATGCATGGAGTCAATGCAGCTTTCGCGTAGGTTGCTGCAAAAATCTGAAACAAATCGAAAGCTCTTTAGAGTAACTCCTAGCATGTTTGCGATATGTATAAGAAACCTACGATCAAACAGTAAATGTTGGCGGCCATCACTGAATAAAGCAAAGAACATCTTTTATATTTACCTTTGTATTCAATCAAAACTGAACCTAAGAACATATGACGTTTATTGAACTGTAGTGAATACTTCGCATATATTGCTATGCCCTTTATAAAAACCACTTGCGGTAGAGTACAAAATAATGACGGTGTAGTATCTGATGCTGCACTCTGTAAGTTCCACAAGCGGGGATGATACAGCTGTCATGTAGAATTTGTATGGTAAATTTCTCATGCTGGCATCCCAAAGCTGCAAATCTTTGTAAAAATTGCCTAAAATACAAATTTGACAGCAGCCGAGCGAATGAGCCGCAGGCAATCTGCTAACATTTTAGCTTTCAAATGAGACAGAAACATATCAAAGGATCACAAATAGGAATTAGCTGGGTTAAAGGTTGAATTAGCCGAGGCTGGAGGGGGAATAGTAAGCCTTTCAAGTCTTGTCTATTTAAAGGCAAGAGCCGTACTTCGTTGTTTGAACGGCCCCAATCACATTTTAAATCACACTTTAAAGGTTTTTGTCCACAACTGGATTTACGCGATGATCACTTGCTTTCATATCATCTGAGCAGGTTTTGGTTATTCCCTCCAAATTATCGTGTCTTTGAAAGATTTGCAGCATCCAATTTTGACACGATAGTATAGAATGTTATGACTTTTCCGGCAGTCTTTATTTGAAAAAAGGTATACAATACCGCTCACAGAATGTGCAAAATTTCCGTGAATGTCGCAGAATCCCGGGAATTCCGCGAACCTTCGCGAAATTCCGGGAATTTCGCGACATCCGGAATTCGCGAAATTCCCGGAATTTCGCGAAATTCATGTAAATCACGCAAATTACGCAGGGCCATAACTTCTTTCCGAATGAGTATATTCAAAATCCGAAAACAGCATTGTATTCAGCTCGTCAAGGCGAATCTTTTACTATACAGGGTGTCTTTAATATCCTGTTTTCAATAATCTTGAATTCATGCGGACGCCTCTTCGCATGGGTGTAACGCAACGAGCATCACACATAGGAGACTGCCGTGGGCACCATTCGATAGTACTCTTTCAGTAGATTATTCTGCGCTAAACAGCAGCCGAGGACTCTCCTTTAAAAGAGATAGAAGAGCGATAAACTCTGAAAAAATTAAGCTATTCCAAGTTTTACCAGCCGTAACTTCCTTCAAAATGAACATTTTCGAAATCCGAAAGCAGCATTGTGTTCAGCTCGTCAAGGCGAATCTTCCGATGTACAGCATGTCCTTGAAATTCTGTTTCCAAATTTTTCAAAATTTTCTGCGCGCGTATATTTGCAAGGTCGCAACGCAGCGCACATCAAACATAAAAGACTCCAATAAGCATTGTTAGATTGTGCTGCTTCCGCAGATTACCGAGCGCTAAAAGTGAACCGGGGAATCTTTTTCAGAAAAGATAGAAGAGCTGGTGAATTCTGAAAAAATCGTGTTGTCTCAAATCTTGCCCACTGTAACCCTAAAATGGGAAGCTCTCCTGCTAAGCAAATGTGATTTTCGTAATCAGCAGGTCAGATAACCTCTTTGAGCGAAGTTTCCTTATAATCCAAAATCATCGACATTTTGACCAAAACCCATTGGCGAGCTTCAGGTAAGCTTCAGGAACGAGGAAAAACCAAATCACCCGAATTTCTTTGAAAACTTGCTCATAGAGGTTATCTGACCTGCTGATTACGAAAATCACATCTGCTTAGCAGGAGAGCTTCCCATTTTAGGGTTACAGTGGGCAAAATTTGAGACAACACGATTTTTCCAGAATTCACCAGCTCTTCTATCTTTTCTGAAAAAGATTCCCCGGTTCACTTTTAGCGCTCGGTAATCTGCGGAAGCAGCACAATCTAACAATGCTTATTGGAGTCTTTTATGTTTGATGTGCGCTGCGTTGCAACCTTGCAAATATACGCGCGCAGAAAATTTTGAAAAAATTGGAAACAGAATTTCAAGGACATGCTGTACATCGGAAGATTCGCCTTGACGAGCTGAACACAATGCTGCTTTCGGATTTCGAAAATGTTCATTTTGAAGGAAGTTACGGCTAAAACTTGGAATAGCTTAATTTTTTCAGAGTTTATCAACTCTTCTATCTCTTTTAAAGGAGAGTCCTCGGCTGCTGTTTAGCGCAGAGTAATCTACTGAAAGAGTACTATCGAATGGTGCCCACGGCAATCTCCTATGTGTGATGCTCGTTGCGTTACACCCATGAGGCGTCCGCATGCAAATTCAAGATTATTGAAAACAGGATATTAAAGACACCCTGTAAAGTAAAAGATTCGCCTTGACGAGCTGAATACAATGCTGTTTTCGGATTTTGAATATACTCATTCGGAAAGAAGTTATGGCCCTGCGTAATTTGCGTGATTTACATGAATTTCGCGAAATTCCCGGGATTCTGCGACATTCACGGAAATTTTGCACATTCTGTGAGCGGTATTGTAGTTCATTCATAAAACCGTGACGACGCATTTGACTGCGGTTTTGCGCACACGGATTCATAAAACACTTATACAAAAAGGTACTCCACAATGCTCAGCTCAGTCGATTCTAGCAAGTAAATGCTACCATACGTAACTAGAAAAACCGCTCGAGTAGAGATGAAAACCAAAAAATGCGATTGTCGGAAGTGCGTACGTGTCGCGCGCGATCGCGCCATTGTCACGATTTTTGAATGCCCCGTATATCTGAAGCTAACGTTTCAGCAATGGAAAAACAGCAGGAAGCCGAAAACCTAGGAGAACTTTGCATTAACACAGGGTGCCACTCTGTCTCACTTTTATCGATCAATGATCTTGATCAAGCTCTAGTTGAAGTTGACAGCACTGATAATCCGGATCCGGTATGCTCAATCTGTTCAGTTGTTGGCAGACGAACTATTGCGGAATCTAGCGAAAATAGTATTCATGACGTTTTAGATGATAATTATAGCGCCTGAGCATTTTTTTCAATGTAATGGGGATAATCTAGAAACTGAGAGGGAACGAACTGAGTGCAAAGCATACAGAGCTTATGATAGTGGAAATGATTCCTTTCATTCACGGAGATGCTGTATATTATTTCTGAAAATCAAAGTTTGGAGAAACTTATATTAAATAGAGTAGACAAAGTGAGCTGAACACATGACGCATTGTGACGATGGTGGACTGCAGTCATAGCATGTACAATACGCAGGAACTCCTGTCCTATGCTCAGACTGTTCACAATGACAGAAAAGGTTATTCTGTTCCGCGTGACAAAATATTTCTCGAAAATTTGCATCGCGTGACAGGATATTTCTCGAAAATTTGCATATGCAAATTGTACATATGTCTTGTTAGATAGGAAGTTTGCTTGGATTCTTCAGCATTTTGCGCGCCTGTTCGATATACATCAGAAGTATGTCTATTTCTTACTTTACCTTTCACTATGTCACTGTGCAATATAAACGCAGCTTCAACTTGCTCATTCATGTACTACGTCCAACATTTATGAACATGTTTTAAATCAACTGGATTGACGGCTGGAAGGCGGGGTTCGTGACCTACTCAAGGCGAGAGAATGATCAGAGAGCAAGCGCGCGAGAGAGACGCAGACTGCATCGCGAGCGCGAGCGGCTTTAATTGGGTCACAAACCCCCGTCTTCCAGCCGCCAATGCAGTTAAATCAAAGGTTACCGCTGCTGTATGCTTTTTTACTGCAAGAAACATCGAGAGGCAATGTAGGATGGAAACGGAAAATGTTACTTTTCATTGTTTTGTTAACAATATGAGTTAGCGTCTGTATGTCGGCTCTAGAGAGCGACCAAGCAGTGATCCTTGGTATTCCCCAGACGGCCGTTGCTTTCGAATGCGTAAACAAGACTCAGGAGCTTCTAAAAAATTCAAGATTATGATAGCTGTAGGTACAATACAGTTTAGAGCACATGATGACTAATTGTCTATCTCTACAAAACTTCGGTTAGGCTTCCAAACCATCGACACACACGATGTCAAATCTGTTAGGTTTGGCATCAAACTCGCGCCATCCTGAGTATTATAGTCAATGTTTTGATTCTGGCTTCATCGACTGGATTTGCAAAAAAAGCGATTTTCAAAAAAAAAATCCCTACTTTAACTTTAGTTGTATTATTGAACCTTTTTGATCTCTTCGTCAATTCCATATCTCCGCTTTGCCATTCCCATTTACAAAATGCTTCTCGGCTGTTGCATTCACCATGTGTCAAGTATTATCCCGTCCCATGTTTGAAAGCAATTCATGCGTTCTAGAATACTGCTGAACAAAGCCATGACAGCTACAGCAGCGATTGCGAATGCGCTTTCCCACATGTGATTGCGAATTTGCGGTTCTGATACGCAATATTTGCGGCATTTCAGGAAGTAGAGGGATGGTCCACTTCGGATCAAAATAAAGAAAAGAATATTATGGCCTAGAAAGCCTTACAGAAAGGAGAGACGGGAAATTCAGAGAGTTTTGGCAAAACAATTTTTTTGCAGAGAAAAACTGTGATTGCTTTCGTGCTCGGATTTTTAGAACCTGGACTTCAATGTCAACGGTGGCTCTTTTTTTTTTAAACTGAAGAATCCAAAGTATGTGCTACATCAAGTCGGGAAAGGATAAGGGCAGTTTCCGCCCTTGGAGAGTCGAATTTGGAGAAAACTCGATGTAGGACTCAACATTTTCCTTAGTGAACAAGAAAGGAAGCGAATTTGGCTCTTGAAAGTGTGCCGACACTTTGGTCAGCTCGAAGTAGAACTCCCATGGCGTTGCAAACTCATGGCAGGGATAAGTAAGATATTTCAAATGTGAATGACAAACGCATTCAGTAATGTCAACTCTGTGGAGGAAAAATCCCGAAAATAGGACCAGACCGAGGGTTCAGAGTAAAAAACCAATAGAAGGTGCTATGAAAATCTATTTCAATCATTCTAGCCTTGCTCTATTCTTCTTCTCTAATCTTCAGCAGAAGTAGAAAACAACGGTAGGAGTGGAGGAGGGAGGGGG